AAATGTGTTGACCACTTTGGAAGACGTCGGATATGACTGCCGATTGTTATTGGTTATTTAGGATGTTTGGCGGGTTTGCTTAATTTAGTTGACATAATTGTGAAAAAAAACTCGCGGCGAACCCGCACAACAGGGAAGACCTTTACGTGAAGCCAAAGGCCTTCCCTGCTGTGCGGGTTCGACGCCCGCCGACGCCACAAGTTTTTTCGCAATGGGGTCAATTACATTGTTATTTGTACTTAAGAATATACAGTTGCATAGTGTGAAGAACTGATGCAGAATAAATACCGGCGGAAACAGGGGAGACTGGAAGGGACCTTACTGGTTCATTAATCTGTCGGACATGCGAGCATGGTCCGCTTCGTATTACATGTGGACTTACGCCAAATTCCAAGGGGGTAAGGATCAGGGGAGTTAGCATTGTGGTTAACTGTAGGGTTAGAAGGCTTAGGATTAGAGTTACGATTAGGGTTAAAAGTTGGGTTAAAGCTAAGGGGACTAGGGCTAACGTTAGGCTACAGGAACTGATGCCACATCTGCGATTATAAACGGACCGTGTGGAAAGTCTGTTTATTAACACAATTCTTAGATTTAAAGGGGTACGCTTTCTGCCAAGTGAGTTCATGGAATCCTTCGTTTTCATGTCCCCTTTTACTTCTATCTCCCAGAATCTGACAGTCAAGACCGTCGAACTAGTTCTACGAAGCAAATACGATCAGACGGAGAATAGCCTCGGACACGCCCAAATCCTGCATCTCCTGAAGTTCTGTCTCAGAACGTATATCACGGTTAACGGAAAAATCTGCCATCAGATGAAGAGAACACAACTGGTTTCCCCCGATTTCGGGACTCATGGCCTATACAGTTCTACAACTGGTGGAGTCACTGGTTTTTTCTAACACTACAAACCGAAATTCTGGGCAAGGTATTTGGATGATACCTTCGTCGTCATCGAAAGATATTATGTGCCCAGATCCAACGGACGTCTCAACAACGTCTTTACGGACATACACTTTACGATGGAGGAGGAGGAGGAGGAAGAAAAATACCAGCTGGACTTCTTTGATGTCCTCGTCTGCCCCAAAATTGTGACGGTCTAAAGACAAATATGTTCGGGAAAGCGACTAATACGACGCAAGTCGCGAACTTCAACAGCAACAACCCAATCAGTAACAAACGCAGTTGCGTAAGGACTCTTTATCGGCACGTTAAGACGCACTGCAGTGAACCGAAGAACAAATTTGCCGAAATGCAATATCTTCAACGGGTGCTCAGACGCCACCTCTTGACAGTAGTATCAATGTTTCCGTGTGAGACTTATTACTCGTCGTCGGACTGATTTTTATTCAGGGCAGCGCGCCTCTGATTAAATGACACAGCACTTAGCTTAAGACGTTAAAGTCGAAGAAGCGAGATTAACGATCCGGTTAATTGAAGTCCAGGTTCGAGCTATGATTGGTTGAAGATGTGTAATATGCTAGAAATTGCCATTCATAATTTCCTTCTATCTACTGACACTTCTTCAGCAATATGTGCGGTAGTTTTGCTGCTATTGCTGCTGCTGCTGATGATGATGATGAGGATGTGTTTTCGACCATTGATTTCGATTAAATTCGCCATGTGCTCCAAAAAGGTTGGTGCAGGGAGGGTGACTGGAGTCAGGGATTCGAGTTAAGTGAATGTAGACGTCGCAACTGTCTACCATACTCTTCAGCTTCAAACCGCTTGAACCGATCATAAGACAGAGTCGAGATAACTTAACGGGATCCAGCGTAGGCCGCTTTTTCCAGCCAGATGGGAACTGGCCTTTTGATGTGACAAACAGTAAGTAATCTCGAGAGCGGATCCACCTTGATGATGATCCTTCAAACTTTCCCGTTTTCGCATGCACGTACTGGATTCTTCTGACCGGGGCAGATAAATGCATATACCTTTTCGACTCAACGTTTTTATTTTTGAAATTTTATTTTATACGTTTGTCTGTACAGATTTTTGGCATGGGAGGGCCTAAATGCACCTGGAACTTCGACCTTGTACGGACCATGAGATCTTTCATGGCGATTAAAGTTTCCTTGGGAGTTTATCTGGGCGAAATGTGCAGACGGTCATTGCCCTGGGCAGATAGTATTGCCGGCAAAGACAAGGGAGACTGGAATGGCCAAGTCTGGCTCATTAGCCATCGTCAGCCAGTCATAACCAGATCCAAGTGGTGTCCCACTCGAGCCTCGAACTCGCGACCTTTTTGCTCAAAGTTAAATACCCTAAGCATTGAGCCACGAGCTCGTTCTCTTGGCGGTTTAGGTCGGGGCAATACTATCTGCCTATAGTAACAGCTGCTACGACTGTCAGGTCCTCTATCCAGACCTTAGGCAGAGTGGGGCAGATGCGTTCCGTTAGCGGTCGTGTGAATGTTCATTAATGAGGTCCTTGCTTTGTCTATGCATACATGTGAGCTGTCTCAAACCAAGTTATTTCTGGTTACAAATTTGCGGTAGTTTTAAATCAGTAGAAGAAGACATGGGATTTGAACTTTCTCCCGTCCGTATTTTATCTCGTAGTGACCCCAATCAGCGAACGCTTGCTTCCTAAGGCTGCTATTAAGTACGCATGCACTACTGACTGCCTACTCCGGTCTGGCCAATAATCTTCAATGCGGACTCACACAAAGACTGCTCTCTAGACGCTGGGATGGCTGACACGCTCACACACACACTTCGGACACTCCCCCGGTTGCGAGCGGACGCACGCTCGTCCGATAGTCAACTTCCTCCTACCTATTTTCTACTACTTCTGTGCAGAATACACTATTCCTACCACTCTAGCCTCTCACATTTTCTCTTCCTCCAGAGAAATCGACCTGTATATCGCAACGGAAAGGGTTTTCCTTATTAACTCAACCACTGCGATAATCTCCTCCTAAAGAGCTAGGTCTTCTAGCCTGGAGGAGATTTGATCAGTGAAACGAAGATTCTGTTCTCCTGGCGTTGAAGCTTCATTCTCGATCTCCCCGTCAGATACAGCAACAGATCACCGTTGCGGGCGCGCATAGCTCAGATGTTGATAGAATGCATTAGTTAAGTCACCATACACCTATCAAAATTAACAGTTCGACTTTTCGTCAAATAAATTAGCAGTTTGCCCGGCGAGATTTTGGTCATCCATGACTGCGGTTTAGATACTCGTTTTGGTGCTAAGTGTGGCTATTAGAAGGCTATTTTGCCCATCAGGACCACCACCGGAAGCAGCATTTACCAGCGCCTCCTCCCCAGTCAGTTTTAGTAAGGAATGAGTGGGGGGATGGGGGGTGTGGATTGGAAGGCGATAATTATGACAACTGGTGGACTGAGGTCGGAGAACCATAACATACACAACCTCCGGCACATTGTTTACGAGGACTTCGGCCTCGACAGTTCGCGTCGAATGAGCCATGACTTCATGAAATTACGCAGTCCCCCAACTGCTGATGTGTGCTCAGGCACTCGAGTCCGGAGTAAGTGTTTCCGCCACCCACAATTGTACCAGATCCCATAAAAGACTGAGTGAGTCTAATGCCCATTAGCCAATAAAAGGGAAGTGCTACAACTGAAGATTTTAAGGCGGGTGAGCAAGCTATCATCACACATCAAAAGTATTTTCTATGGATACTGAAGTTAATGGCTTTATTAAGTAGATGTGACAGCGAGAAATTAAAAAGGATAACAATCTATGCACGTCCTTGGCCTTTATTCATTGCAGTCACGGATAATGAGTTCGGGAGTTGAAAAGAAACGGTAGGCATATAAAGTGTATGGTTCTGATAGAGACTGTTTACGAATATAAAACCGACCTCTGTGTACTGAATAGTCACCAGGATAATTAAAGACGAACAGATCAAACAGTCCGGCTGAAATTAAGAGCCGTCGGTGGTACCGAAAATTCGCATAAAAGTTTGCGCCGCATTTTTGTTTCAATAAATTTGTGTGCATACTGGACTGCGAAGCCCAATGCAAAGCATTTATTTCCGGTAATCTAGTCAAGCCTAAAAGCAAACTGGCATGAATTCACTGACTTAAGAATATCAAAAGTCAATTAATAAACCGAGAACTCGATCGGTGGAGCAGGATTGCAAGGAAATTTAGGACAAATATACACTTAGGTTTGCACTGACGCTTGTGAAGTTTTTGCACATACGAAACTAGGATCCGAGTCGATAGAATATAAACATAAGGGATAAGCTCGCGAGCGGAAGCATTTTAATTTGGCCAATTTGTTTCTTTTAATTGGCGGAATAGGCAAAATTATTCTGTTTAAATAAATCCCCTGGGTGGTCAGCAGCATTTAGTTTCGATAGGGATAAACCTGGGAGTAAAGAAGGTCCTTCGTTCGCCGGAATTATGGATTTTTGGTTGGTTTTTTTAAATTGCGAAAATTCTCATTGTAAACAACAAAAGATAAATTGGCGAGCATACGTTTGCTTTCGATAAATTCTCCTCAGTCCCTCTCCATCGTCCTTCACCACAACAACACTACATAATTCAGCCAACCAGCAGAGTTTATTTATTTCATTACTATGTAAATGTACAGGACTGAGGAGAATTAATTGTCTCTTTGTTGCCACTTTTCTCTCTGGCGATGAACTCTAGTAAGAGTTCGAAAGCTCAGACGGTTAAAGCGACAATTCCGTCGAGTTAAGACCTTTCTTCTTTTTTACACATTAATACATCTGGAAAGCGAACATTCGCCTCAACGCGAATAAACATTCTTGAAGGGGGATAATACGAGCGATCTTAATGTCCAAATAAGACACAATTACATATGAGAGCGAAACAATCATGTAGTTTGTGGAACTTCTACTATGTGGGTAAGATTTTCTTGCTCGGCAAACTTATTGAAAGTGTTACGTGCAGATACCATACGGCTAAATAGAAACGCCCCTGTGGACAAAAAAAAGACCAAAAAAAACCGATTCGTATCATAAAATGTGAAAAAAACATCAAGAGGGTAAAAGAAAACACCCCTACTTACTTTGCAGCTTTTGAAGATGGAATGAGGACAACTAGGTGCAAAAGTATGGGATTCCGTGCTGCATTCTGGTAACAATGTAGAGGCGCCCAAAATCCGTATATACGCCGAGCTTCTGACAGCCGTATTACTACTCCATCGGCCAACTTAATCTGTGGACACAGGTCTCTCGGCAGTGCCCCAATCGACCCATCCGCGCCCACACTGACTGTCACATCCTGCCGGTTGGAAGGGCTAGAAGTGCTAGCATGGGTCACGAGCTCCCTGCCCACACAGAAGGCAACTGAACGGATCAAAGTGGTGGATGCAGTGTTGGAACTAGGCCGATTCTCCATGGCAGCGAGACCCTCGTGAGCAGTACAAATCTCCGGGACCTGCAAAAATGCCCGCATTATGGGCTGAAGCATCTTGAAGACTTCCGCACCTGGACGTTCCAGATGACCGTTTGTGATGAGCCAGGTGATTACCAACTCAGAGAAGGCTGCAGCCCTATCCATGTCGGCACCATAGGAAGTCTGTAGAGCGGTGGCTGGAACCACCTGCCGGAAGATTTTTTCAAAGTCTGGATTCAGGGGAAGCAGATCGGAATGATTGGCC